TAAGAAATTAACCGTACTCCTAAATTATATAAAAAATTGAAGTCGGCTGTGTTTTTGCTTCAAAATTGCTTGTATTTGCCCTATTAAAATTTGAACTGTTTTTCATAAAAAGTGAAATATTCCGGGGAAATTGCCGGAACTTTTTTTCGCTTTGTTATCCCTAATTATCTCTTACTTTCTTTTATATCTGAATATCGATATTTTAGTATGAATGGATATGGCTTCATGCCAGGTCCTGGCTGCCAGGAGCAGATATCTTTTTTGACACAAATGTTAGATACGAGATTTTGCACTTTTAAGGACGATTTGCTTATTATGTAACATGCATATTTGTCGTACCATTTACACAAACCGAAAGCTACGGTAGAATAGTATCCTGCGTTAAATTCAGGAGAAAGGGCTAACAACTTTCGTTCAAAGATAAAATTCCACTTAAATAACAGACAAATTTAGTTCGTAACATCACACTTTGCACAACAGTGCAAAACAGTATACTGTTAATTTAATATCCTTAATGTTAAATGAAATTGTTTGGCTGTTATTTTCTGCCTTTTATATGAAAATTCACTTACGACTAGGAATTGTAATCTAACATTACAGCACGAAAGCTCTATTCATTAGAAACTATGTAATAACGCTTTCAGTTTCCGAGCTTTAAGTCAATTAGCAGTTAAAGAGAAAATATCCTTTAGAATAAGCTTTCGCAAACTATCTAGATAACAGTTAGGATATACGATATGCTACATGTTTATATATGTGTGTATTAAAGGGGTTGATGTTAATAGAAAAAGCTGCTGCCAACGATAGATACATAAATGTTAACATAGGCAGAATGTTAACTGACAACAGCAACTGTAAAGTTAACATAGCGCTGCTTAACTTAAAATTCTTCGACAAAGAGTGTGTGTCATAATGTTTAATTGAGCAAATAAATATGAGTGCGAATCGTTTGAGAATAACAAAAAACCATAGGCTGGTTTCAATGAACTACAAGTACATAGCTATATATAGGTCAGTTCACTGTTATGAATGCAGTATGCACATATGCAACACGGTACCGTTAACTTTCTACATTACATACTAATTGAAATAAATGGTGGAGCTCTTGAGCTTAACTACTTTTCTGGTTAATAAAAAAACTGCCAGAAGTTGCATTAATTTATTTAAAAAAAAAAATTCATTTCATTAGATTAACAAACATTCAATGACTTTTCATGCCAATTTAAACACTTCGTTAATGCTATCAAAAAAAAATTTTTGAAAGTAGTTATTAATGAAGATACTTTACTCAACCACCTGAATACAGCAAATGCTATTATACATATGTATGTGCGTACATATGTATGTATGTAAGCCTGCTTTGTCCTTTTGAAGGGTAACTAACAGTGAGAGAGAAAAATTGATTAACTCAGAAATTGAGTTCACGAGCACGAGCGCAGAGAATGGTTGTTGACTTTTCATGCCAAAATGCGTTGTTCGCATCAAACTTGCTAACACGAAAAACTTTCGTATGCTTCGTTGTTCGTCGTTCGCCTTTCGCCGTGCGAAGTACGCTCTATTCCTTTGGCCCATCATTTGTTGTATTGTGTTCGTTGACATTTTCAATCTGTTGCATCAACGAGTGCTTTTCGCAATGTGAAATCGAAAATAGAAATCAGTGTGAACGGTCAATCGAAAGCGAGTGGTGTCGCTTGTGTTTATACGCAGGCGAATGACGTGCATAATTAATTAAATTGAAAACGAAATCATAAATTAGAGAAAATACTAAATCTAGCAAAAAAAAGTGGCGAATATTTTATATAAAAATATTAGCTAACTAATTGAAAATTAAATAAGCATATCGGTAATTCAATTCAACGCATCTAGACAATAAGAAATAGACTCGGTATGCGCTGCAGTCGATGCCTTTGAACAGGTGTGTCCGCTACCCAACTCCCTCTTCGGAATTCGCGTCGAACAAGCACACACACACACACACGCACCATTTCCGTGGCTTGTAGCAGCGAGAGATTATCTACTTTGGCAAATTGAGATTGAGATTTTCCCCTCCACATTTCGCTGGAGCCACCGCATTCAGTTAATAGCCTTTACTCATTCGTTTGTACGTCAGCAGCGGTAGCAACAGCACCACACTCACTGGCCAGTGTGCCAGGTCACTGCCATCAAACGAACTTAGAACACTTGTGCATACATACATACATACATATGCGCTTTATCGTTGTTTTGTGGTGTGAATGTTGTTTGAGTCTGAGAGTGTAAGTGAAGTTGTACCGATTTTGTTGCGCTCGTACTATTTTACACGACCAACGCTCGCGATTCGACTATATAGGGACACACATACTACCTACCTATAGTTTGTAACTTGGAATCGTACACCTACGACCGGAATGGGACGATGCTAGGCGCGACGCCGAATGCGTGTTGAGTAAGTAACGGCGACAACATTTCGTACGTTAGCTCGTTCAACATGGTTCCGTCGTGTTATCCCATGGATTGCTGTTGGCATTTACAAACTAAGCTGTTGCGCTCAATTTTCATCCTGTCGGTTTTGTCGCTCTTTTAACTGAGACCTGAGCCTTGCGTGGCGTTGTTAAACTCATCGTCATACTCGACGACAAATGCGTGTTTGATGCTGTTGTTGTTGGTGTTTTCTGGCTGGTGTTGGGGGGGCAGTTGCGCATTGTCGAACATATTCGAACCAACGACGAACGGTAAATATACTAGATAATTCGGTCGTTTGGCACGAGGATCCGCTAAGGAAATTGTTGGTTGTTGAGTAGTAAGGCTCATTCACGCCGGAACGTTGCGATTGTTAGTGTCGAATTGTCGCATGTACGCGTTGTTGCTTACGCGATTTTGAAAAATAATAAATACTACGGAATTTAAATTTCTACGCACACACATATGTATGTACATATACATACATACACGCCTACATACATATGTATGTATGTACATTAGTTAGATACATATATGAAAACAAATACGCGAGCGCATAGAATGGGTGGCGTGGTGTGAAATTTAAATTCGCTTAAAGTGCGGTGCTTAAAAGGCGTAATTATTTTAATTGCATTTAATTTTACCTGTTAATTATTGAAAGCAAGTAAAAGCGATAGGAAAGTGTTAAATATGTACATAATTTGGGAGAAAATTTATATGCCATTCAAATTGTCATATCCAATTTCCGTGCTTCTGCATACATAAGTTATCACAGCAGTGACAAAAACAACAACAATCAACAATTTAAGTGAGCAAATAGTAAAGAAGGCAACAAAAAAAAAACCTGAATTATCGTTGAAATTTGGTGCAGCGCAACGCATACCCACCCATAGCATATAGCAACAATTGTACATACAAACATTTCAACGGTTTACAGAGCCAAAAAAGCACTGCAGTGCTGTGTGCGCGGACGGGCATACGAGGCGTATGAGTGCTCCAAATCTACAAAGCAGATATTTCTTGAATTAGCGCACAAAGCGAGGACCTACTAACACACATCTATTCATACCTACATGCATACATACATATGTATATGCAGCGACTTCGAGCGTAGCAAAATTGCTGCAAAAAAAAAGCGCACTACTCCGTTGTGGATGTGTGTGTGCGTGTGCGTGTTTGTACTGTGAAAAATTCATGAGCCAACAAAATTTGTGTTGCTGATTTTAGGCGAACAGAAAACAAAAAAAGAAAAACAAAAAAAAAGTAAAAACAACAACAACGAAAGAAAGCGAGTGCTGTCGTGTTTTTTTTTTAGTGAAAATAAAACAACATCTTGTTTTTTTTTCTGTGTGTTGACTTAGCAGCTTCAGCTTGGCACGCATATTTTTGCAATTTACGCTATAATTCAATTCGTTCTTCATTTTCGCTATCTCATTCACAACATTTTAAAGGATATTCACGTGCTAAAGCGTTGGCATATTAAACCTAAAAAAGCCTTAGCCTAGTCGTCGTGTAAACATACATACATGCATACATACGCACATACATATGTATGTAGCTTTTGCTTTTACAATTTCGTGCGTGCGTATTTTTGTGCTTGTTCGTGTGCGTGTGCATGAAAATTGAGTTATTTACACTTGGCATACGTCGACGTGTTTTAATTTATGCGAAAAAGTGTCAAAGTGGCGAACCAATGCCACATGCATCAGCATAGACTAGTGAGTTGGTTGGTATGGTAAGTGTTTGTGTGCGCGTGCATACATACATACATACATACATACATACAAATATATGTAGATACATAAGTATTTAAGTAACTATGTAAGTGGAAAAGTGCGGTTTATATACTTTTAAAACGGGACTGTAATGCGTTTAGGTAACTCGCAAAATATCAGCGTATCGCTTGTGTCAAACATATACATATACATATATGTATATCTTGGATAAATGTGTGCTTGCAGCGTTTGACATATAAAACGCCAAAAGCAGTAAAAGAAAAATAACAGAAATAAAAACAAAAAATAAATAATAAACAAACAAAAACAATAGTGTAGACTCATTGACATACCAAGGGAATTCGAAGCTCCGGCAACTTTTATTTGCTGACAAAGCGTGTACAATACAAGAAAAGCGTTAAAAAACAAAGCAGCGAAAAAAAAAACAAACCAGTAAAAGTTGTTAAACAAGTGCGAAAGCAGCAAAAAGTAGTGAAAAACAAAATAGCAAAAAAAAAATAAAAAAAATAATACAACACGTGAACTTTCCAACTTAAATATTAACCTGAGTTGCTTGGGAACACTGACTGCAAGCAAGAGACAACATTGCCAACTGGAGGTGAACTGGTGAGTGTCGATGACTTTGTTTTTCTGCGATTTTCTTGTGTGTAGAAGTTTTCGTCTTTTGTTTTTTGGCTCTTTGCTTACTACAATATTGCTGTGTTTTGTTGCTGCTTAGTGCTTTA